GTAGAAGCTGCTGGGAGTCCCAGCAGCTTCTAATGAAGCCAGTCCCCAGCTCCGGGGACTTCGGGTGGCAGTATACGCCGTGAAGTTTGCGGCCTGCCAGTAAACCCAAAGCAGAAGAAGAAGAAGAAGTGACGTCAGCGGCTTCATTTGCCTAATCCTCCCCCAGGGACTTATTCCGGTGTGAACGCGATCTGCTCTTTAGTTCTGATGAACCTTTGTGGGAAAAGTACTGCGGTGTGAAAGCGCCTATAAGATCATCACATGTTTGTAGCTTTGCCGCTGTCCTGTGAGAACCATGTATCTCTGAAAAGTCAACTTTTCATGAATTTATCAGAAAAACTGTTAATTTGTGACGATACATTTTCTAGCTGATGCATCAGGTTTTTTTAAAGACTTTATTGATCTACTGTAAGGTAGGAGGAGTATCTTCTCAATGCATACAAGGAACACTTCATCCTTCAGTTTATCACAAGCATTCAGAATGATCTGGAGATACATGGTGCCACTGGACAGGAAGGAGAAAATTGTAATCAGAAAAGTAACTAAAGCTAAAAGATAAATTAAGTGGGGTAAAAAGTACAATATTTGCATCTGAGTTGTAGTGGAGTAGCAGTATACTCTTTGTTGACTCTTTATTTCAATTTCATTATTTTTCTTTCTCTACAGTCCGGATCACGTGTGGACAGTCTTTTAGGTTATCAATAAGAAACATAAGCTAATACTATGCACATTGTTCAAATCAATGTGATCGGTTTTTCTGTCACATTATCTGATCATGTGAAGTTTATTATTCTGTTTCATATTTGAAAAAGGATTGTGCGACATACTGTGGCTACAGAAATACAGACACACATTCACACACACTTTCACACTTCCATTGACTCACTTTCCATGGGCTTCAATTACGTCACAGCTATTGATGGTGTGTCCTAATGCTGTGTATGGGCTATGGATTTTAGCTGGAAGGGTGTTCAAACAGTAGCTCTGATGGGAGGGCAGGGAATATATAAGAGGAGCCCTCTCAAGAACAAAATATGAAAAACGTAACATTTTGATTAGGCTTCAAAGACATTTTAGTGTTACTCATTTTAAAATACTGGGTTTTTCGAATTCCGTATTATATAATAATATAATATAATATAATAATAATAATGTTTCAGCTGTTGTTGAACATTTCATTCGTTTTATTAGCAATATTATTTTAACACATTTTTGTCAATTGATTCATTGTTTTGAGCTGTACTTGAAAATGTTTATATATATACATTTTTTATATTTATTATTTATCTGTATCTATTAATATTATAATATGTATTTTTATCTTTATTTTATTAATAGCCTGATAGATATTATGTATTTATCTTTATTTATTGAACTTTAACCATATATATATTCTGATATTAATATTATTGTTGTTATTATCAATTGTCAATTTACTAACAGTTGCAGCTATTAATTGAAAAATAAAGGTGTTAAGATATTATTCATTATTTTATTTTATTTCCCCGTTTCCTGGACCTTTATCATATTAGTAATGAAGGAATAACGCACCAAAATTGGCAAAAAAAATAAAAAGGGGCCAATGGACTGAATCATTTCCCAAAATCGAACCAATGCTGCTTACTGGGACTGATTTCTGCATAGTTTTTGCATTAAACTACAGAATTCTAGAACAAATCACGACATCTCCGCAGACTAACACAAGTACGACCTCCACAAATGTCTTTATGGGACTTCCTTACTTCACTGCTCCAGCTTCAGCGAGCTCAATACCTGCACTGATCCCAGCAAAGCTCTCCTCCAACAACACACCCCCCTTCAGATCCCAGAGCAGCAGGGCAGCCATTAAAGGGGCTCTGCTTCAAAGCTATAGACTCCACATCCATTCAGAGTCAATGCACTTGAGGGCTATTGGCCGTGTAACCTGATCCATAAGACCTTAAACAAACCAAACACGGCTTTAACAAATCAATGCTCTGCGTGTTTGGATGGGACTTGACGTGATCGATAAATCCCCCACATTCTTCTGCAGGGATACAACACAGGGAACGGTGCGGGGGGGAAATCCACCAAACCTCTATGGATCAAGAGTCTAGAGAGCATCTCTTGGTTTAAAAGAGATAGTCAAGATAGTTTGAGGTCGGGTTCCACAAGGTGCTTATACTGTATGGTCATCGTTCACATTTCATTATGTTAAAATAAACATTTTGAAAGTTGCCATATTTCTAGCTAACCAGGCCCAAAAACTTCCCTTATCAGGTTTTTTTTTATGTGATCTTAAGGTTGTTGTTTTTTTTCATGAATTGAATAATTAAAAGGAAATCATTTCCAAATAGAAAATTGTTTCGAACACAAAAGGGACCAAAATGATAGTAACATTATGATGTGGTTTTCTACACATTTTGTATTTTAAATTAACTCTAGATTAAGAGCTGCATTGGTGTCTTTCCCCAAGTTTTTATCATACAAAAATAAATACATATTGTGCAGCAATAGAGGAGAGTATATGAGAACTTCAGTTCCCCTTCAGAAAGGAATGACAGCCAGGTAAAGCGGTGAAAACATTCTAAATATAGCGTACACTTCAACTGATATGTATGTATCAAACACGTCCACAGAAGTACATTGCTTAGCTTTTTGCTGGCAAACCTGTCTGTTCCTCTAGACTGCATTTACTGTTAAAGTATCTTCAAACAATCTAAAGCTATCCTTTAAGCACAAATAGAAACCCTATGAGGGTAATTTGGGCTCTTAGTTTGAAATATGGCAATGACTGGTCCTTTAATTCAGTTCTTTAACACAATTACCAAATGAAAATAAAATGCAAATGAACATTTGACCTGTACTTTTGCCATGAATTTAGCAATTCAGGTTAACTTCAAAAGTGTAATTGTCTTTCTGCTTCCCTCCTCTGACCCTGTATCCCACCTGATGGGGTAGTCTGCGGCGCTGAGGTTGATGAAGAAGTCCCAGGACCAGTCGGACATTTTGAGAAGGTCCTCCATGCTGCGCAGGTACATAGTCAGCAGGCTGGCCCCGCCCCAGATGGTGGACATCCGCCAGGGAGTCACCCGGACGTTAGGATACTGTCCGGCCAGAGACAGGACCTCTTTGTAGAGATAGTTGGACCTCTGGGAAGGTGGACATTACAACAAGGAAGGTTATAGGCTCTACTCCTCTCCAAAACTAACAGAGCTTGTGATTGAACACTGAACTAAGCAGGTTTCAATTACAAATCAGTGTTTCCTTGAAGGACATAGGGCAGATTGGCTGTGAGCTAACATTAGCTCAGCTTGTTTCTCTGAAAAGTTAACATAGGACTAGTGATTTTGAAATGTAGCACACAAACAGTTCAAACAGATATAGTGTGGCTGTAATCAGACGGAAGACATTTTCTGACCTGGAGGGGGTGAGGCTTATATTATTAGAAATATATCAAATGACGAGTTTTTCTCTCTGATAAAGCGTTCATCTCGGTGCATTTCATTCGGGTTTGTCAAAATGCTTGCAGCTCAAAAAGCTCATGTTTTCTTTTTTTAATCCTGCGTAAAAAGAAGTATTAGAATGATTTAAAAGGGAGCAGGAATGAGTCCAGAAATGTGTTAGCATTTTAGTTCCCTAGAAGTATCGTGGTCTATTGGATTTATTAGTTAGAAGCCTGAAATAAGGTCTGTGATTAGCACAAGCTTAAGAGATTTTAATGGTTTGTTCTACAACATGAAATACATCAGTTAATACCCCATTTGATCATTGTGTTTGTTATTTTGTCTAGCTTAGCAGTGGTGACCAGTAAGTGATGTGAGTGTGATGTAGTCCCTATAGCCTTACGTTAGCTTTTTCATTCTGGAGATTGCATTTGCATCTCGTAAATGTTAAAGGCGCTGTTAATGTGGAGATTTCTGTGCATGTCTTTTCCGGGTCGGCCTTTGAAAATACGTCATCCCTGCCCCGCTTTGTGACAGTGGGCGTTCTCACCTGGTCCACATGGATGTAGTAGTAGTGCGAGGTGTGGTAGATGGCTTTGAAGAGACGCTGGAACTGACGTGAGGACCGGCCGTGGACCACCAGGACGAAGGCCATCCGGGCCGGGACCAGCTGAGCGGACCCCGAGGGGTCCTCGTCCCACTGTACGTTCACATTGGCCTTACCTGGACAGAGGGGAGCAGCTCAGTACACAGGCAGCATCTTTTACAGAACAGTTGACATAAAATGTTGCATTCATGTCCTGTTGCCAAAACAGTTCATATCAGCACTCGATTAATGAACACATTTTCCAACGGGGTCTGCTGTCTAGGGAATTAATAAAAAAAATCGAATTTGTTTTAATTGTGTTGTTTCCAGCTCCTATTGGGATTGGCTGTTTTTCATTTCTATACAATAGGAAATAAATAATGCACATATTTTTTTGACATACAAAGAAAACAACTCATTTGAAAACATGATTGTATACTGGTTTTATTTAAATATATATTTTTGTATTTCAATTTTATAGTTATTATTTGACTATTATTATTTATAATTTCATTTCTTCTCATCTTATACGTTTTTGTCATCTTTAACTATTTATTAATTTTTTTTTAATCTATTGTGAAGCACATTGAGTTAGCGCCTGAGGTATGCAATTTGCTACATAAATACAATTTTAACACATTTGTCAAATAATGAGGTTTATCCAACATTGTTAATCCCATACTGTGGTACAACTGTAGTTTGGGATATATTTATCGAAACAAAAAACACCAAATCAGCAATTTTCTACAAACATATTTTGTAAAAAATCTAAAAAGAGAACATCAAGACAGACGAATTGCTGCATTGTTTAAGTGCAGGTTGCAAGGAAACGTCACGCCGCTCTTGTTCTTAATCTTTTATTATTTTGTGGAAATGCTGTTCAGTCTGTGGCTGTCTGAGCTAAATCTGCCTCCTGTATATACAAAGCCTCCGACAGCCTCATGCTTCTCCATCATCACGCTCACCCTAAAGTTGGCACGGGTTGAGGCCTGCTCCGCCTAATTAGTGACCTTACCCGCGCTGTGGGGCATGCTGGGAGTTTCAGGATGAATAGCTGTAATCTGGTGTAGACAGGGGGAGCGATGCACGCAGTGCTGGAATGTAACTAAATACATTTATTCGAAGACAGGACTTTTTTGTCATACGTGTACTTTACTTCTATTGCTACCTTATACTACTCCTTTTGTGCAATATTTACTATGCTTAGGCGGTAAAACGTGCAAATATTCAACTGTGCAATGCTCGCAACGTTTTGTACACTGTTTTTAAAGCATTATCTGGTTTGTACACACATTTTACTTTAACTAAATGGTTTTATTTTATTAAAAAAATGAATCAAATTTCCTCCCAGAGAAAAATAAAGTGTTCTAATCATACCTTGAAATAAAAATGTTGGGAGAAATTATTTTCCTTTAATACAGTCTTTTAAAATGTTTTAAACATTAAATCACATAATATTCTTATAGGATATGAGGTAGTGTACTCCCAATAGGGCTGGGTGATATGGAGTATATCAAATGCCGCAATATTTTGACCAAATACATCTATTTGGTGGACAAAGACAGAATAATATAATATTCTATAACACTATAACAATTGAAAAGATCCCTTGTGTATAATGAGTACTTCTTCTTTTGACACTTAGAGCCCATTTTACTGATAATACTGCACTTCTATAGCTTATATAAATATGTTATTGATATAGAGATATTTGGATGGCTTTAAAGCCCTATATCTACTCGTAGAGTGATCTTTCCAAATTCACCACATTACTGATGATTATTTAACAAAATTGTCATTGTGTAAATATTTTGTGTAATCATCAATGAATAAGACTGCAATGTCGTCAAACATATATAGGATTTTTTTTCATATTGCTTAGCCCTAATTTTAATACCAGTTTTCTACTCTTACTTAAGTAAAGGATCGGAGTAGTTCTCCCACCACTGGATGCACACAGAAACACCAAAGCCACACCAGTCTGTGGATATAATGACTAGCCTATCATCAAAGCAACCTATAATCACATCAATTTAACCCCAAACGGCGCAGGGTGGTTCAGAGAGAACGACTACAAGCAAATCATTAGTCAGCGAATCCAAAAATAAGACGGCAAAGTGCTTTCTTAATTGGGGTGTAATTACTCAGGCTGAGTCTCATCCTCTGTGTCCGTCCGCGCTTCAGCTCCCTGAAAATAGAACTGGCAGCGGACTGGAAGCGTCTTCATGGCACGTGCCGGGTTAAAAATGCTTCTGAAAGTGTACATTTAGAAAATATAAATCTCTCTTTGCCACTTCAAAGCAGCCGCCTGTTCATCTGATTCCTTGTCCTTACGTCTTTCAGTCTGTCATTTGTTAACTTGCTCAATCAGCCGCTGTCATAACTAAAGGGATAAATCTGTCCTTAAATCATAGGTTAATACATTTAAGCCAACTATGTCATATTTTGGATTACACCCATATTGTAAATATAGTCTCATGAAATATGCTACATCAGTCCTTTTTCAGATTCAGTCCACCAGAAAAATAAATGGCCACCATTTATTTTAAGCCTTACTACACTTTTTCTAACCTAATGGACATCTTCCGTTTTTTAAGATCCTCCAAAGAAAAGATTAGAACAGTGGTCCTCAACCAGGGGGCAAGACCTCAAAGGGGGTTTCGAGGGAAAAAATGTAATACATACGTATTTGAAACTGGGGGTGGGTCATACATTAAAATCATCTATACCAGTCATATAATTTGCCTTAGATTATATTTTGTTGAGTGTATTGGAGATACATCTTCACAAGCCTTAAGCCCTATTCATGTAACCATTCACAGCACAAATGTCCTTTAGATACCAACATGCATTAAACCACCTGCAAGCATATACATATTTTTGTTAACGTATTTATTGTTTTATATAGTTGTACAATTGTAACTCTTATTTCTGGTGTTCAAATATATATTTTTATTATTTTCTTTTCCCATTTTGTCTTATTTTCTTTTAAAATGGAGCAACTGTTCCGAAACACAATTTCCGACTGGGTTAAATAAAGTATTCTGAATTTCATTGCCAACAACTGAGCAGTAGCTATTATCCATATGGCAATAAACTATTTAAACCTTTGAAATAAAAGGTTTCATCTGCTGATATTTCATCTCTAGTATAAATGAGTGCAGATCTCACCTTCTATTGGGCAGTAGCGAGGCACTCTCTCCGGCATCAGGGCTTTGTTTTTGTGTTTGCAGTAGATCTCCACTATCTGCTGCCGACACTCGCGGCTCTTGGCCCGGGACAGGGCAGAAATGGCTTCCTTCCCGCTGATCTCGCACTGCGGCTGCTCCTTCTTCACCACCACGCCGGGCGGTGGCAGCGTAGAGGACCTCTTTGCCGTGTGAAACTGATCGGACCCCTGCACCGGTATTGGGACCGTTGGAACCTGGGGGTGGGGTTTATGGACGTGGGTGCGATTGTTATGGGGCCCCACCCCTCTGGGTTGCACCGGAGGGAACTTGAGGACCTCGTTTGCAGGTTTTCCCAGCATGCTCTGTGCTTGGGCCTTGTCCAGCTTACGCTTGGAGTTAACGAGTGGAAACCGCTGCCGTCGGGCTCCCAGGTTGCTGTTGCTGTTGCTGTCGATGGTGTCAAAGTCTTTAGGGACCGAGTTCTCGTTGTTGTTGCTGTCCAGGCGGAGTTTGTCCTTGGGACGGTGGGAATTGTAGGCATCCTGTAAATGAAAAAAATTGATTAATATATTGTAGAAGTTGAGAGAAAGAAAAACAATCAACAACTATCTTTGATGTGGGGTGAGTCATTCATTAAAGCGGTCCTATTGTACTTTTTGGTGTTTTACCTTCCCTGCTTTGTGTTATAGGTTTTTCTGCATGTAAATGGTCTGCAAAGGATAAAATCCCAAAGTTCCCTCCATAGGGAGTTTCTCTCCCACACTCGCTCCCATGCCTGAAAAGCCTCAATTAGACTCCTTTGTTTACANCCCCCCCCCCCTGCCGGAAACACCTCGATTGGACTCCTTTGTTTACCTCCGTGAAATAATGACCTCATGTCACTTGCGCTCCTATTGGCTAGTGCTCCAACACATTATACGTGATAGAGAAGTCCCAAACATAAGCCTAAAAGGTCGAACAATCACAACAGAGCCGGCCAGCTAACCAATGAGAGCAGACTTGGCTCTGGTTTCAGACAGAGGGTGAAAAGAGGTGCTGCAGCACAGGCAGCATGAGAAAAATAAAGAGCTTTTTGAACATTAATGCATATAAACATTTCACAGTAGAGACACTAAATACAAATATGAACCTGAAAATGAGCATAAGAGGACCCTTTAAGACAGCTGAAATCTCAAAACCAATAAATACAACTACTCTCAACCCTGTATTTTTCCAGAGTAACACACTGACACTGTCCAACTGTTATTGTATAAGTGCAAAAGTAAAACATCAAAGAAAAGGCACTTAAATTGATTACTACCACAGACAATGGTGAATTATGTCCTTAGAGTCCGCTACAACACAATCATAACATCCTGTAATCCTGTAAGAACTGCCTAACATCCGCACACAGAGAAAACAAACATGGCTGATGTTTACTGGTCCACACATCTTTCTTTTCAACAAAAGAATCCAGTCGTATGTTATTATATAGCAATTAAAAAAGGTACCACGCTGCGAGTAATTGATAAACAAATGTTCATTTAATTGATTGCCATGAACATTTTAAAAGAATTTGTAATGCCAGCAACATTCTACTAGTTTAGTCCAGATTGAAATAGGTCAACAATTATTTGATAGATTGCCATGACATTGTGTGCAGAGGTTAATTAGAAAACAGTACACAATAACAAATAATTCAGAATTCAAAAGTTTCCGTAGTTTCTTTTCTTACAAAAACAAATCGTACATTTAAAATATTGAAAACTGTGTAGGTTTGGTTCTCATTTTATCTCCAGAATTGTGCAGATTACCAATCTACAGTATATTCACTTTGGTCACTGGCTTTTTTATTCAGTCAGGCATCACTTTCACTCTTTCTAGGAAAAAGAAACAGAGGGGAAGAAGGAAGAAAGGAATGATTTCCTGAGCCCAGTTACCTTTAACCCCTGAGACACGGCAGCTGTGGCCTTGACCTCCCAGAGTCAGAGGGTGATATATACTGTATTTGGAGCTGCGTGTATGTATGTGTGTTAAACTTGCATAGCCACATGGCCTTGATGGGTGTTTTAATCCCATAAATCGTTCTTTATCTGTCTTTTCCAGGGATAAAGAGAGTGTTTCTGATAAACACACACACACACACACACACACACACACACACACACACA